CTTCGGAGGTAACCAATACTGCTGGCCAGGTTAGTTATCCTGATATTGACATAAGCTTTTGCAATAACATTAAGCAGGTTTATTTTTTCAATTACGCTTGAATTAGTGTTCTGCTACATCGTTGGGCACATATACGTTAACGGTAATTCGTCAGAACTTGGGTCGGAAATGTAACTTCTTCCTCAAACCTGTTCAGATGCGTGTTAGCTGTTTTAGAAGTACTTGTTGTTGGGCTAGTTGGTCCGTCATACTGAGGGGCAATTCTAGACGCCTAAAGCACCACAGGAAGAGCACCTGTGGTGCTTTAGGCGTCTAGAATTACCCCTCAGTTAGCTGTTTTAGTTGTTGTTCCTCACATTTAATTAGTCCCTCTTCTTTAACTCGCAGCAAAGGTTCTGTTTTGGTAGACTGGATGCCTTTTCGTAGCATATGAGATTATGGGTCAGCTGCCAGTTCGTAAAAAAAAATTACGTGCTTCAAGATGCCAGCAGGTAGACAAGTTTTCCACACTAGCAGTCATAGGTATACCAGTGGCGCCAACTCCCTGGTTTAAATGTGTCTATATGCCCGCCGTAGTGTGAACGAGGGAATGACGTCCACCGTAGCTCAGTTGGTAGACCGTCGGGCGTAATATTCAAAGCCCACAGGTTCAGCCTTTGCAAGTGGCAAGTTATCGTTCCGTTCACTTTCTGCCAATTTACGTCGAAATTGCCACAAATAACATCCCTGTACTTCGAATTTCTTGTCGGTTAGTTCTGTGTTGTCCCTAACAAATGAGCCCTCAAGTTTCCCATTTCGTTCATTGTTTGTTTGCTAGTTGTAACTTGCTATTTGTGAGTCAACCTTTATTTTTGATGAGTTTTAATCCTTTAGCACCTTGCATGCATGAATTGTGATCGTCTTGAAATGTGAATTTTTCCGAACAGTTTATAAAGCATTCAATATTACAGTCCAGGAAAGACGATCATTATTTTGACTTTTAGTGATTAGTTCATCTTAATGCACAATTGGGTATTTACTCAGCAGTCAGCCACCTTCTTTTTTTCCCACCAGTTATAAATGAAAGATGCATGTGATTTTTTTTTTTGCAAGATGAAACAAACCAAACTGTTGACGTTGTCCTTGGAACGTGGCTGGCTTGCAAAGCCGTCGAACAATGTCGTGCCTTGCCTGAAGTGTTGGCTGCAGTCTTACCCAGGCAATAAAGGATACAGTGATGCAGAAAGCCGTTCTTCACTGGACTGTATTGCAATTAGCAATAATGTTAGCTTTCCTCGTGTCCGTGTGCCTAGTATTCTTACATTGATACCCACCAACTACCTCAGATCGCCTTAATTCATGTTGCTCTTGTCCACTAGAACCATCGACCGGCACAAGTTGACTTGTATCCTAGTGTGTATATTGCACCATGAGGATTTCAATCACCTAACGAGTTCATTGAACGAATAAACTCACTGATGAGTTTATTGACTTCTTCCTAGGAGCACTGACTTCACACATGCACACTGGGCCACATAGGTCACCTGGTGGGCATCCTCACGGCACTTCAAGTACTTTCTCATATCTCCGAGAGTATATTAGACAAGGCAAATCTTGCTTCTCGTCGATTTAATTGCAACACTCATTCTCTGAAAGAGGTTACCATTTTGTGTGTCGTAGTGTGTTCGTATACCTAACACCCACCATAGTGCGTTGGAGAATATGGGGTTGCGATGATACGAGCTAAGGCACGGCTGCTATTGCTAGCATTGCCATCAATAGTAGGTGCGTATGTTTTGTTATGGGAGAAGCACCCATGTGTTCGCATTTGAGCTGCACATTAAAAAAAAATCTCGCTCTTAACATTTAGTAAGTACTTGGCAAGTGCATGACTACGCCCGACTGGGCTGTTTGCTGAATCGTTAACATGGGAACAGACAGCATTGGGCAAGCGAGTTATGGATAGACTCACGGTGTGGACTGTTTGTAGTTGTACCAGTTCTAATCTCGGTAAAGGCAGGCATTTGGTCGACTTGGTCATGCCCGAGTTTGGTGCCTCTTCCTAGTCTGGAGCTAGTACACGAAGAAATGCAAAGTTTACTAACAAAGAAGGCTTCCTTGGTGGTATTGAGTAGAGCTCGAAGTTCCTCCTTCGAATGCTTGCTTTGACAGTAATTTCTAGATTACTAGATCTAGGAAAGGCATATAATTGTCATATTAGCAGTAGCCGTGTTTTTGCGACCAATATTTCTTTACTTAGTATGGTTTTCATTGGTCATTTTTCAAACTTGCTTGAATCGTTAACATTTCAGGCTTGTAGGCCAACCCACCACTTTCGAATCTGGCATCCATTTTCTGCAAAAGTTCACAACTTTTGTCCAAAGGAAAAAAGGGCCGTGAAGTCTTCAATGCGCACGCTTGTATTACTCTTCTCGAGTGCTTCGAAGCAAACTTTGATGGATACATGGCTGCATTCCTTCATCGCCACCTTGCACAGTTCTACGATGTTGAACTCTTCGGCTGTCTTCATGACATCGCTGGCTCTGACGTTAAATCGGCATCTGCCGGCTCAAATGTCTCCCCCGGCACTTAGAACAGCTTTGACCTTTACTGGTTTCTGTTTACAAAACAGGGATTGCACACACACAAAAAAAAAAGATGTATAGTTCTGCTTTGCAACGAACTCCTCCGTACAAATCTCAACTAACTGTATACACCACGCTTATCAATGCATGACCATCAATTTTCGTTCTCCAACCATCGTAGAAGCCTTGGTTGGTTTCCGCATGAAAGTGCTCAAGCAGTTGTGCACACGCCTGTTTATCTGTTTGCATACTTCGAACTATTTTTCATCTTCAAAAAAAAAAAGAAAGAAATTTAGGCACGAAAGTAATGCTCAGTTGTGAAGGCATTCCAAATTACCCTACAAATATATTGTTTACATGTTATAGATTCAAGCAACAATTTGTGAATCAACGCTTCGCGTAATAATCAAAACATCGTGCTTATACGTTCACTCACCGGTAAAGTGCAGTTAGTACAATTTTTTCATATCTTTTCCCTATCCTTCCCTCCCACTTTACAAAGTTAACTGCAGCGCTCTGTATCAAACAAGCCAATGCAAACATGTCCTTAGTTAATTGCGGCTCGCTAATTTGCAGCCCTAACGAGGTAACAAATATTGCAGCGGACACTTACTTGAGTTGCCGGTCAGATATTTAGTTCAAATTTAATTAGTGTTAGTTTCATGAATTACCGCCTCACTCATAAATTCGTCCCGATGCTCTTGTGATAGAACCACTTGATCTTTAAATTTTTACCGCGCAATAATAGACAAGAACAAAAGGAAAGAAGCAAACGTGGTGCTCTTCACGCAGTTTTGTTCATTTCTTTCCTTCTGTACTTGTGTAATGTTACGCCGTAAACGTGATAGGCATGAATACCAGTGGACAGGCCCAACCTGCAGTTTACCTAGAACATACCTGATATGACTTTGCAGATGGCACGTACAAACCAAATAAGCATTCAACTATTTTTTTGGTAATTGGTTCAATAATGTTGGTTAACATGGCAACAATGTAGTAGTTTGCCAACTGTGACCGACACGCTCACCTTTCAGTTTGCAATCCCTTCGCTAATATTTATTGGTGAAAAATTTGCAGTTATACAGTTACTACTCCCACCGAGCTTTACTATAAGAAGATTTATTTGGTATAAGTGCTTGACTCTGACTGTTGGCGAATTCCATTTCGCACATTCATTAAGACTTGAAACATTCCGTTGTACTTGCTAGCTACGCACAAAACGTAATGCATTGACAAGTTGGCCGAAATGCATCCTTGAAAATTATGAGTTTGAAATCACTCGCAAACGAGAGGGCAAGGCGACATGGGCCGTATGTGTTCTCCGGTCTCTTTGTTTGCCCACCTGCACTTTCACACCTAACCGCCTGCTGGTATTTAGATACCACATGTCGACTCGCACAGTAGCTAAATATTTGATCGGGCTCTAAAAATGTTTTTTTTTTTGGAGAACAGCAAGCAATGCTCCCTCTGCAGCACGCTTCACATATTACGTTTCTCACTTTCTAAACATCGTCGGTGACCGCTGTCTTTAATGTTCTTGCAGCCCTAAACTATCGCCACTGCCGGAACCAGCAACCGCAGACGAGGAGCTCATGGTTGTTGAGTTTCGTCGCTGGCAACTTGTCGGGGACCTCCGCATGGATCGTCCTTACTGCGAGCTTCAAATTCGGCATCAAAGTGTCAGGTGAACCCCCTAACGAGGTTACTAAAATATTTGTGACACAACTCCGACAAGGGAAAAAAAAGGAGACAGGATAGGGCGCCAGTCTAGCAACTAGTTTTTTTTTTTTATTGAAAATCCGCTCTTCATATACATCCTTGGCCACGTGACATCTTCAGCGGATTGACAAATTCAAGAACAGCATTTCTTTCTCTGATAACATTGACGACGGTGAGCTGACATAATTATCCCCTTCTACGAGTATGGTTGTCGCTTCGATGATTTCGCGAGTACATTTATATTTGTGCCGGCTGATTATGATACATCTTGAATAGATGGGTGAATAACCACAGTCATTGCAATGTGTGGACAGGTGCCCATCTTTGTATCAAGCCACGTTTTGTTTGTGCTCGCATACTGTCTGTCACGTTTCCTAAATCTGCGCCCATTTGTTAATGTTAAATCAATTTTCACGATCTTATGATCAAACTGTTTACAACAAATGTTCAATGATTCAGATAACACTGTCTCCTCCTTTTCTTTCCTTGTCGGGGTTGCGCCACAACTATTTTATTAAGCTATGAAATTCCTACTTGCCCAAGAAGCAGCACTCACTAACGAAGTGTGCAACTCCGTCTTCTCCCATGACAGAGGCTCCCTGTTTCGCGAACAGCAATAAGCTGTTGGGGTGTGGGAAGAGGCCTTCCGTCGATGGGGTAAGACCTTTTCAGGATACCGTTGCACTGCCGGCCACCATTCTGTGCCACTTTCTTTCCTGGTACGAAGGGTGGCGTTTCTTTCCTTGTGCGAAGTGTTCTCGGGATGCACCGTACCACCCGAAGTTGTCGTCTCGTTCTGTTGAATTTCAGAGCCGGCGTCGACTTCAACTGTCGTATCATAGCACGTGCCTCTATCAACCATTCAAGTCTGGTTTGTATTTTTGTTCCGCTTTCTTGCTGACATTTCTTGAGTATGCGTCCATTTGTTAATGCTAAATCAATTTCAAGATCAAGTGATCAAATTGTTTAAAACAAATGTTCAACGATTTAGAGTACACTGTACTCTACTATGCATGTTGAATTTGAGAATCATCTATTTTATCTAGTCATGCATCCTGTCGCTGCCAACTTATAAAAGGTTCCACTTCATCACCCAGCCTTGCTCGCTCTTAGTGTTGCGCCTACCATTGACCCTTGCATTGCTGGAAAAGTAGAAAAGTATAAGATTATGTTTTATTACAGCCCGTAGCATTTCGTTATGTGGTCCAATGCACTGTTAATCCTCACTCGTTTTTCTCACGTAGGTGCATCATGGTCGCTACCTGGAACCTGAGCACGGTCTCCGGGGCTAATTTGAAGGTGGGTTACTGTGACGCTTTACAAGCTAAAATTTTTTTCGGCTAGTAGCTTCTTCGCAGAAATGCAACTATAGAACTGGAAAGACGGGACACGCGCATGTCCTTTCTTCTATATCCCATATTTTCAGCACTGCAGCATCGTATATGTCTTGCGTGCGTTCTGTTTGCGCTTCGGTCTTTTAAGGAGCACACCATTTGTTTCAAGTCGCATGATTCGGTGTTCATCTTTTCATTTGCTCGAGTGAATGAAGCGTAAGAAGAACACTGCGTCTTGCGCAACGACCATGTACAATGTTGTAGTTCGCCTGTGCCATTGCACATGGCTCCTTGCCTGATGCAGCCTTACATCAGCTCGCGTAAATCGACAAGTCACTCTTGCCTTGCGAACTGTCGGAAGTAATGAGCTATTCCAACGTTTCAGCTTGTCAACATTTATTTCCCGGTGAAAGTGGATTCGGCGTTCTTTCGAATTCGAGCCTTTTTGTCCACCATTCGGTGCCTCTCATAAGTACAAGTTATTCACGTGGTCCAACTCCTGCACACCAATCTAAGTAGTTGCGCAGCTGCTGTTGCATTGCATTGTGATTCTAACTTGACGTGATGAGCATCGCATTTCGATTTAGGTGTACTCTTGAATAACCAGTGTGCCAAACTTTCAATCTTAAACGGCATTTTTTTTTAAAGTACGACGACTCCTATTAGTGTACTCTTCACTAAGTATACGCAAATCTGGCTGCTAAAACTGTAAACCCTGTAAAATAAAATAGGCGTTGCTTGCTTTACCTTAAATTTTCAATTTGTGAACTCAGTACCAGTATTCGGTGCACATTAATGGGACTCCTGGTGGTTGATTGTCTAATGTACATTTCTATATCATAAACGGTGTGCTTTGTAATTGTATCGTGTCAGTGGAATGCAAGACTCGATAACTATATTAATCTAACCAGTGATGCCTGTATCATTGCAGCTCTACAGTTTGCGTTGCCGGAGCCAAGAAATGCTAAGTGGGGAACATGTACGAGGTCAGAGCCTCTTCCCTGGCGATTCTTACGGAACATCAAGGCCATTACCAAGCATCAAATTCATGACTGAGCTTGGGTGAGAGTAACAACATTGGCGATTGTGGTGCGATTTTTACTGCTCTGCCTCTCGTCGATTGTCTTGTGTCATCAAATTCTAAAATTGTGCCGGTCACTTGTTATAGGCGGACTTTGGCACAGTTCTTGCCACTGCGAGTCTTCCCCGCGATAAAATCGAAAGGGAACTGGCTGGAGTAGTGGCGCTTATAGCTTCGGGTTTCGCAAACCAAAAGTGGTACGCGTCTGAAGTGACAGGTAGTGGCCGCAGCGAATGGAGAAACAGCACAACACGCACTAACGCAATAGTTTTATCCTAGGCAAGTCGCGAACAGGATGTTATGCATGGCTGGTGCCTGACTGTAATGGTGATGGGGGCCCACTTCCTATGCCTTTGCGCTCCCAGCCACAGTTTCGTGCCAGTTACTCCTGATACGGGACGTGGTTTTTGTGGAAGCAAGATGATATTCAGGGTTAACTGCTTCATTATTGTCGTGCTCACTAACCTCCGTGTACCCGTATCAGCAGTTCCATTGTGTAGTGTTCATGCCACGGTGGAAGCAGATGATTTTATTCTTTATCTCTCGACTCTGTTCCTGTTAATGTATTACAGTTCTTGTCTTTCGACGGTAGTTCCATTTCTACCGGCCGTCACGCTTGCCTTCCTGTTTTGTTCTTCAAGCCTGGTCTTCAATTATCCGGACCTTGAAGATCTTGAAAAGATCAACTGTGGACCTTCATCATTGTGGTTATAAGGGGGAAAAGAAGAGAAAAGTGAGCCCCTGCAACTGTCTGCGTCAGCATGCGACACCTCAACAGTAGCTCACAAGAGATGGGGGTGAGGAGGGATTAAAAGGATAGGATTAAAGGTATAGAGAGAAAGAGATGCGCTAGGACATTGAGTGACGACATATGAGAGATAGGAGAGATAGGAAAGATAGAAACACGGTCACAGGAGTCCGAGGATGGGGCACCACTTGCGAAAGCTCTTGTCGGCGACAGGAGATGGCGTAAGGCTAATCCAGTCGGCCAGAGCTGCGCTGACGTCGTCGTAGGGTACCAGCGGCAGGAGGCGGCGTAGGACCAACCCAGTCGGCCAGAGCTGCGCTGTCGTCGGACATCGCGAGGGCACAACCGGTCGGCACGGAATTCAGCGAGCGTGTCTGGACTTTGCAGTAGGGGTTGGTACGTCGTCTGCATAGACCATGTCTTTCGGATATCTTTTCAAGAGTTTCCCTAGTCTCCCTTTCAGTTCCTGGTGGCCTTATTGGTATGCTCGGTGCAAGGGGGCTGCCATGCCATTCCTGGGTGGGTCCATACAAGTCCCTGAGCTGGTGTTCAAGTGCTGTCGGGGAAGTTCGTGTGCGCTCAGTTCATATCTTCTCCAGGCAAGACATTTGGCTTTCTTTGGCTGCTTTGCAACCGGTTGCGAGCGAGTGTCCACTGTAAGCTTGTACCAATGGAAGTTCTAGCGTTAATGGTGCGAGCGGGAACATGAGGGCACAAGGCAATCCCCGAACCGAGCGCATGCAGATTCATGCTGGCCGCTGTCAGAAACATGCCAAAAATGGTGCTGTGGTTCCGCTAAATGACAGCACCACAGCATGAGTGCTGTGGTGCCATATCAAGCTGCCACATTTCACTAGTTGTAATGCGGCAGTGCGGAGCCCGTCCCCTCCCTGTCATCTCAATGTATGAGGCTGATGTTTCACTCCCCTCTTGCCCCCACCATATACGCACGTCTATGGTTGTGGGCGGGTGTAGATTTATATCCCGCAACTTCTAGGCTAATTTTGCACTGAAGCTTTATTTTGCAATCCATACTTCATGTCTGAACAGGAACGATAGAATCTCTACGCCAATCTTTTGCTGAAAGCCACAACTTGTTTGGTCACAATGTCATCGCCCCCTCTTGACAATGAGAAACTGGTTTTGAAACTGTGCACAATCTTCGACTTTGTTCACATGCTGCTGTACTGAAACAAGCTGGTTTTCGTGGCGCTTGCAACCAGTGCCTTTGTAGCTACGATATTGTGCTCCGCTAGGAGGAAACGAGTTGCTGCATTTATACCTGCGACCAAAATGCAGGCACTTGCTCTAAATTTAGGCGCAGATTAGTAACTGCATGCACGTCATCTTGCCACAGCTTTGTAAAAGGCATTTTCAATTTTAGTTTGCACTTCATAACTACGACTCGTGTCGATACAGCTTTGCGAAGGGGCGGTGACACCCAGACCATGGACTGCACGTCTGGTAACCACTGACAAGCAGGAGCACAGTCGATTATGTGTCGAGGATTGCTGGAATTGCCATCGTTGCTGCGAGCTTTGTCAATGGCACGAGCTTGAGAGGTGAGCCTGCAGTATAGGCTAATGTTGTAGCATGCTCGCAGTATATTGCCCCTTTCCGTAGTTCCTTGGAATCGCCTAAGATGCAAGTTTTGCACGGTAATTTACCATGATATTCAATGCTAATAGCCTCTCATTGCTTAAGAAGCTCCCACTCATGCTCGGATTACTTGTATATGAAGTGCATCGTAACATCATCTCAACGAGACTCGTCACTCATGGTCTACGAATTCGTGAAAATTGCGGAAGTTCTGGCGACCCAACTTAAAGCGAATGGTAGTGTTAAAATAAGTTGCTCCAATTTCAAAGCAATTGGAATTGCAGAATAGGTAATACCATTATTGTACATTCAGAGAGTCTGTACTACCTTATAAACTTAATTCAATGACTTGCTCAAGTTATGTCAAATATATAGTTATATGGTAGCAGCAAGCCTTTCCAAAAAAGTTAAAATCTTTATCTTCATTCCTTACGCTCTTGCAATGCCAATTGAGTGCGGATTCTGAGTTTCCTTGCTGCTCAGATTGTCCTTGAATTTTGCTCTAGTCAATATGACATGCGCATACGATGCTATCTGAGCGAATGTGGTCGTCAATAAAGATCGGTTCAGAGCATATTTCGTCCTTCTTTTCGTGTTTGTGCCTTAACCCGGTGTGCGCGGCCGTTTATCGTAAGGGCGTCATATTTTCGGTCCATGAAGGTTCCGATTAATGAGTCTGTACTTGGAGCGTATAAGCCCGGATACAACTTTTAAACTCACAAGTGCCGAGTCAATGTGACCTGTCCATTCAACCTTGGAGTATAGATTCGCTGCAGCGCGCATTTCTCTTGGCAAGATGAAATGACGATATAGCAGCCCTCGTATGCGTGCGCACGTTTTCTCCGCTAGGGTTAATCGCAGTGCCCCCCCCCCTTCTACTTAGTGAATGCATGGGACAGATTCTACACCCCCCTTCATATGCTAACAAGGGGGAGGGGGTTCCCCCTCCCTCACTCGTGCGCACGCCCATGGCAGCCCTCCAATGCAGTGAAACGGCCTTCACGAAGGCTAACATGCAGTTCACATTTGCCTATTCATTCATTTCGAATACTTCAAATTAACTCCACCATGAATATGATTTCGACATTTCTAGTACACTAATACGAGTTCGCATATTAAAAGCGCCCGCATATTCGGACTTGCCTGGCCATTGCCTGAAGGGGCCAGATTCCTAATTGCATGATGCGGTTATGACCCTTGTGCACGTGCCAGTGGAGTACTAAAAATTTGACGGTCGTTTCAATTCAGGATCACTGTATGTACATGTATGTATTTACTTGCATGTATGTGTGTTTCTCACTTTTCCTTCCAGCTTGCCAAACTTTTCACCTGGCACACGCTAGGCCAATTCCGCAGGTCTTCGCTTCATCCGGCCCTTCCTGCAAGAAGTCCCTGGTCGACCGTTCTTCGGCAGGCAGCCTGAGTGTACTCTGCGTTTTGATGGGCTCAAAGGTCTGCAATCACTCACGTAAGCCTATGTACTACATTGAGTAACACGGTTGAAGTGCTTCTATGTAGTAAATATGTGATAAGGTACTATAAATGGTAACGTTTTGAATGGAACTCAACTTAGAGATATTAAGGGCTTGAAAGTCTATGGTAGGTACGGCGGGTTATCTTTAGGGTAGCTGGCTCCTCGCCGTCGTCCGCATAGGTGATCTTCGCCAGCGAAGAGACGCATTAAAGAGAGATGGAACGAAGATTTATTTACATTATAGAAAAAAGGTAGAAACTGTACAGGGATCGAGAAGATCCCGCATTATGTACAACAGATGTTCAGCTCATGATTCCGTACAAGATTCAGCTCAAGATTCAGCTCACATGATTCAGCTCGAGATTCAGCACAATTTACAAAAATGCTTTGGCTTTTATAGCCCGCCGTCACCGCCGTCCGAACGAGGCGGTGATAACTCTTGCCACAAAGCAGATGACGCAGTCTTTGTGGTCCACCCACCAGAAAGGGTGCAGAAATTGCACCACTCGGCTGGGCGAAACGGTCCGGTGGTAACAGGAACGCACCGCACAAAGACGCACCCAGCTCACGCCTTGAAGACACCGCAGGGCGAAGATGTAGAGTCCGGAGAGGGAATGTTGAGCTCCTCCGGGGAGATGGCCGCTGACCCGAACGTCAGCAGTGGTCCATGCATGCTGCTTTCAGCTTCAGGCAGTCCAAACGCTCGATCCCGGTGAACGGCTTCTTCGACGCGTTCCCACGCTTCCGGGCTGTCGGTGCGTTGAGACGGCCTCACGTAGATGACAGAAGCCGAGTCAAGAAGTTGACATAATAAGACCCGCCAAAGTGGCGCCGTTCCCCCGCTGTTCGAGCCCGTTCAACAAAAGGCTTGTCTCGCGAAGCTTTCGTTGAGACCCGACTGTTTCCTGGAACATATACAGGTCAGCGTCTTGCAGACTGGGCGCCGATGGGGTTGAAAGCCTCCCTAGCAGACCGGCCTACGCACAGTGGCGTCTGCCCAGACGAATTGCCGGGTCAAACGTAACAGAGCTCACATAACACACATTCGATTATAGATCTTTGAGTACTCCAAACACAAGCATCGAATTAAATGACAGTAAAAATAGCAGTAAAATATATAAAATCTAAATAAAATCGAACTAATTGTGCCCTGAAAAATACATTTTTTAAAAGCTAATTTCAATCCTACTGTTATCAGTACCCAGTACCCTAACCTGAGGATACATGGTACCCTCTACCCTTACACTGGACCATGAACCCTGACATTTTCTGCGGCACCCTGAAAATATAGGCTTCTTGCCTTGTGCTCCCACAAGATATTGTAATTCTTCCACGGCATGAGGTCACCAGGATTGATATGGTAGCCACACATTACACCGGTGTTCATGTCAATAAGTACATGTCAACAAGACCTACAATTGCTAGACGATCAGTTAGTCATCAGTCCACGTAAATTATGCCACTTATATTAAATAACTATAAAGCGTTCACCACCGGCTCTGAATTTATCTGCAATAGCGAAAACACAGCAGGTAGCACCGGCCGTGGTTCGGCCTGGTGCTTATCCACTTAAAAATTCTGTCGCAACAAGCATAGGTTGGGGGCGCAAGTTTTGTTCTTTTTTCTTCCATTGCTTTTCTATTTCACTTGAATTAAGCAACCAGTTGTCGGCAGCGCTCGTATTTAGTCTTCCTTCGCGATTCGTCTCTGCGCTGTTTCAATATGAACGCACGCCAACTAGCCCAACTTTCCTTTTTGCTGTACACCTGCAAGTCTGGTAAAAATTAGCTGATTCCGATATGTTCGTATTTAAATTCTTGGTGTTCTTTCACACAGATACACCACTTCCACCAAAATTTTCAGGCAGCAATGGCTCCCTAAATGTCGGGTGCCATTACTTATCGAAGACTGACTGCCCATAAAATGGTGGGACCACTATTGAAACTGATCTTTCGCGCTTCTCCTGAGCTTCTATGGGCTTCTCTTGATCGC